ATTTATTTCAGTAATGCAACTTAAAAGGTGAAACTAATATATGAGACTCATTACATGCAAAGCAAGATAGTTCAAGCCGTGATTTGTCATAACTGTGATGATTATGGCTTACAGCTCATGAAAACCCCAAATCCACAATCTCAGAAAATTAGAATATTGTGAAAAGGTGCAATATTCTAGGCTCAAAGTGTCCCACTCTAATCCGCTAATTAAGCCATAACACCTGCAAAGGGTTCCTGAGACTTTAAATGGTCTCCCAGTCTGGTTCAGTAGGAATCACAATCATGGGAAAGACTGCTGACCTGACAGTTGTGCAGAAAACCATCATTGACACCCTCCATAAGGAGGGAAAGCCTCAAAAGGTAATTGCAAAAGAAGTTGGATGTTCCCAAAGTGCTGTATCAAAGCACATTAATAGAAAGTTATGTGGAAGGGAAAAGTGTGGAAGAAAAAGGTGCACAAGCAGCAGGGATGACTGCAGCCTGGAGAGGATTGTCAGGAAAAGGCCATTCAAAAGTGTTGGGGACTTTCACAAGGAGTGGACTGAGGCTGGAGTCAGTGCATCAAGAGCCACCACACACAGACGGATCCTGGACATGGGCTTCAAATGTCGTATTCCTCTTGTCAAGCCACTCCTGAACAACAAACATCAGAAGCGTCTTACCTGGGCTAAAGAAAAACAGACCTGGTCTGTTGCTCAGTGGTCCAAAGTCCTCTTTTCTGATGAGAGCAACTTTTGCATCTCATTTGGAAACCAAGGACCCAGAGTATGGAGGAAGAATGGAGAGGCACACACTGAAAGATGCTTGAAGTCCAGTGTGAAGTTTCCACAGTCTGTGTTGATTTGGGGAGCCATGTCATCTGCTGGTGTTGGTCCATTGTGCTTCATTAAGTCCAGGGTCAACGTAGCCGTCTACCAGGAGATTTTTCCGCAGCTTTATGGGGATGCTGACTTCATTTTCCAGCAGGACTTGGCTCCTGCCCACACTGCCAAAAGCACCAAAACCTGGTTCAATGACCGTGGGATTACTGTGCTTGATTGGCCAGCAAAACTCGCCTGACCTGAACCCCATAGAGAATCTATGGAGCATTGCCAAAAGAAAGAAGACAGACATGAAACTGAACAATGCAGAAGAGCTGAAGGCCACTATTGAAGCATCCTGGTCCTCCATAACACCTCAGCAGTGCCACAGGCTGATAGCTTCCATGCCATATTGAGGCAGTAATTGCTGCAAAAGGGGCCCAAACCAAGTACATATGCATGCTTATACTTTTTAGAGGTCCAATATTGTTCTATGTACAATCCTTGTTTTATTGATTGCATGTAATATTCTAATTTTCGGATTGTGGATTTGGGGTTTTCATGAGCTGTAAGCCATAATCATCACAATTATGACAAATCATGGCTTGAACTATCTTGCTTTGCATGTAATGAGTCTATCTCATATTAGTTTCACCTTTTAAGTTGCATTACTGAAATAAATGAACTTTTGCACGATATTCTAATTTTTCGACACACACACACACACACACACACACACACACACACACGATTTTGTGTCTGACATTGCTTTAAAGAGTAAACCCAACATTTCATATACCTGATATGTGCCTGCTGTACCATGTACTTATATGAAAAAGTATCCTGTTCTCTTTGTATGGCTTCCTTTATATGAAATCCCTGGTGTTTTTGCTAGTACCTCTACTTTCTTATTAAAAACTGACCCCACTAAACAGGAGAACATCAGTTCTCTAGCTATGCTGGGAACTCAGCTTGCTCTCCTCCAATGATCAGACTTGTCCTGACATCCCCTCCCCCTTGCACAGCCATTCACTGGGAAGATCAGTGTGTTGCAGTTTTTCCTCTGCCCAGTGTGTATGCAGCTGAGAACAGAGGAAATGTAATAACTTCTGGGAAAAAAGTGTATTTATGTTTTATATCTGTATACAAATGTTTTGCCTTTCATTTCTATTTAAACTGAATGGTTTTACAAGGTGAGGGTTTACAATCACCAAGTAGAAATAAATTCTTAGCATTTATTTGCATTAATATATCAAGCACAAGAAAATAAACCTTCCCCAGTAAACAAATGTTAAAATTCTCAACCCAGCACTTCCCATAAACAGGGAGGAGCAGAGGAATGCATCCATAGTCTAGCCTATAATTCTCTATTGATGCACACCTTCAGATCCTGCATGCAAGGTTGGCTCCATAGCACATTGCTAGTAAAAAGATCCACCCTCTGACAGGAAACCTGTGGCAACAGTCATGGCACAAGCTTAAACAGGAACATAAGCAAGGATTAAGAGTCACAGTAAGTGAATAAATCAGCAGCTGAAAGTACTTATAAATTGAGGGCTTAATATCACTTTAAGTAAACAATTTAAATACACTCTTAAGCATCCCACAAAATGGGCAGATGGAAGAATGATGCAGTGGGACTTTACCTCGGTCACACCACCTCCCTAATCAGGAACCACTACAGTCTTCCCCAATTAAGCCGATGGATGCAATATATGACCATTTTCCTGTTCCCTTCAATTCACAGAAATGTGAATGAGTGACACCTTTATGTGAAGCGTTCGGAAATCCCTGTGCACATCTACTAGCATTTTCAGTGGTTTTCATTATTTCTACCTAACCTAATATAGAGTTAATTTCTTACCTAAATTTCTCAAGAAATACTTATAAGAGCACACACTGCTAGCAAGAATTAGACTGTACATGGCCACTTTCTGAATTTTGTGCTCAGTAAATCCTTGAAGATTTTTAGGCTTGCAACTCCTGCCTCAAATAAGTATGTAAAGTGGAAAATGTAGCACCAAGCTAGCAAAATATTCCACAGCACAAACAGCGCTTGCAGCACAGTGATCATCAACATAAGCAACCTTGCCCTCAGCTTTCTGAGAATTGTCAATTTTTTTTTTTTTTTACTCCTTCAAGCTCCAGAATCTTCTGATGGTTCCATGGTAACACAGCTGTATATTCAGGGTCACAACTGAACCATAAAACTGCACAATTAACAGAGGGTATAAAATATAAAAGATCACTACTGTTTTATTGTTTCTGCTAAAATATATTTACGGGTCATTCAATCTTAACAGCAAACGTATTTGTGTAAAGTCTGCAAAAATTAAACAGCAATATTGTAAACACTGAGAAGGATAAAATCACATCAATGCATACAGTAAGATTTAAAAAAAAAAATGGGTTTAAATGGTTAACGGCTGTTTTCACCTCCACATTTTGGTGAACTGAGGATGTAGTGTGTTAAAAAAACAAAAAAGACATCTAAGGAGGTAATTTTCCATCAAAATACATCTTCCATAGGGATAAATAGTAACACATGCAAAATACATAACATGCACAAATGAAAAAGAAGATGTAGCCTTAAAGGGTAGGTTAACCTTTTCAAAACAATGAAAAGGTGAACAGAGTACTGAGTGTTCATCATAATGCTCGCAATGCAAGTGATCAATGGTCAGCGTAGCCATGTGATGACACGGGGTGCAAAGCGTGATGTCACCACTACACCACTCCACCCCATTTAATCTGAGAACACTTTGCAATCATTCAGAAAATACAAAATATTCTCTAAATGGCAGCCGTGCAGAGTGGCCAATCTCCTGTGTTCAGAATGTAGCAGGCAGGCTGCTCAGCAACGGGGCAGAAAAGCAAGTGGAGATTCACAGGATCAGCGCTGTCTATTTCAGTAATTTCCACCTTCAAGGGGCAGTGGCCTGGTATGATACAAGCTGGACCAGTGTAACAATGATAAAAATATCTATACAAGGAATTCTTCTTTAAAGCTGGCTATAAACTGACCAAATTTCGCTCAAATGGGTAGCACTGTCCGTTGCCTCTCACCCAACAACCCAAATTGAAAAACTAAAAGAAGCCAGGTGGAAAATTGTTAGATGAACATGGTCCTGATTGAATGCTTGGGTAATATGGTGGCTGGCGGGGCCGCAGCGGGAGATTAGTCAATCTGTGTTGTATAGCATACACCCAGCCAAACAAAACTGCTAATTTAACCGCCTCCCACCCCATATCAGATAATGGCAGGTGCAAAGCGGTTCTCTCTCGTTCTGGGAGGGACGTCATATGAAGTCCTCCCACTCTAACCGCACGTGCGCACTCCCTGGGGAACACAGCGTGGCAATCGGTGGTGCACTGCGTCCCTGGGACACAGCGGATCACCAATCAACGGAAAGAGCCGAAGATGTCGGCACTGTCATGTGATGAGCTGTGTCCAATCACAGCTGATTGCATGTAAATAAGGAAATGCCGGTTATCGGCATCCCTGTCCACACGAGCTGTCACGCTGACAGCTCGTGAGGAGAGCCGGTAATCAGTATTACTCAGAGGGGACATGTACACTGATCATCAGGGCACTAATGATCAGTGTAGCCCCATCAGTGCCATATATGAGTGCAGCCTGTCAGTGTCCATCAGTGCAGGTGAAAAATCACTTATTTACAAAATTTTATAGCACAAACTTAAAAAAAAAAAAAAAAAAAAAAAACCCTTTAAAATTTTCAGTTTTTGGTTTATGTAGCAAAAAATAAAAAACCCAGGGGTGATTAAATACCACCAAAAGAAAGCTCTGTCTCAAAAAAATGATAAAAATTTCATATGGGTACAGTGCTGCGAGACCGTGCAATTGTCAAAGTGCGACAGCACTGAAAGCTGAAATTTGGCCCTGGGCAGGAAGGGGGTATAAGTGCACTGAAGGCAAGTGGTTAAAAGGTCTCTAGTGTTGAAGTTTGGAATTGTGACTGTAAAGTGAAAAACTATACAGGAGATAAGGTACAAATCAGTGTACAACAGCTGTGCAGATAACTGGTTAATCAAAAACTTCCTTTTACTTTCCATCGAAGTACAGAACTACTGTTCCTTCAGAAACCTGGATAAATAAGGCTGGTTATATTGTTACATAAGATGGTTGAAAGCTTTGTCAAAAAACAAAAAGAAAAAATAGATCATAGAATTGACAAACCTTTATCTCCATTTTGGGCAGGAGAGGAATTTCGCGGTGAAGCATCCATGCCACTTCCCTGAAAAGCAAAGAAAGATAGATGTTACATGTATCTAACACTCAGTAAGATATCAATGTATTGAATAGACATTGTACTAAAACACATGAATATATCCTATAATTGACCTAAGCTTTCTAGAGATTGCATTCTACTCATCACACAAAGGACTGAATTACAGTTTAAAACGAAAGCAGGAAGACAATAATTGGATTTCTTCTGGTTGAAGGCTGGCATGTCAATATACCTCTTGTAGCCTTTTGTAGCACTAAGTGTGAATAGACTGCTGATTGAACGGTTTCACAAAGAATATCATTAGTTGGCTTTATCTGCTGCAATTGAAAATGTTGAAGATTACACAATTATAAATGCATTGGTGACCACTATTTTTACATAATGATTCTTCTAAAAACACAAGAACATTTGTAACCATTCAAAAAAAAAAAAAATCTATGGAAAGGAATCTCTCCATCTTCCTCCTGCAGCCACTGACTGCCTGCGGGAGGGAGAAGGAAGAAAATGGAGAGATCCGTTCCACCTCAGCTGCTCCTCTGATCCAATGTCTCTATGCTGAACCACCCCCCCCCCCCCCCCGTGCTCTCCAGCCCCCACTTTTCTGAATGGAGAGTCAGTGATTCATGCTGATCACTGACTTGGTCCATTCATAATTGAAACATAGTAAACTGTGTTCACTGTGCTTCTGTTTTTGAATGAACGGAAAGCTCTGTACAGAGCTATTCCTGTCCATTCTTTCTGTGAAGGCTTTTTTTAAGGAGGCTGATGGCTGCTTCCTCAATCTCCCTTCTTTGTCAAAGGTGAAACATCAGAGGTCTGTTGAGACTCCTGATATCTCACCAAAGCCCTCCAACTGGCTCCTAAAAAAATTGTAAAGTAAAAAAAAAAAAAATCTGGTAAATAAAACAAAAACTACTACCAGGGTCACAAAGGTTGCACTTGTGTCTGGGCCCTGGATTTCATTAGCGAACTCAAAGGGAAAGGGTCTGGCCGGGGGTCCTTCATGATTTCTTGCACTGGGGTCCTGAAGGATCTAGTTACACCACTGATTCTAGGATTGCAATTGTACAGCTCAGACTAATGTATGTGTGTGCCGTACCTGTGGGATCCATGTGGAAATAACTGTAGTAGGCACAGCTACTACAGTGTTTTCCACTGGCATCAGGGACCAGTCCCAAGCATCTACACTGCTGCTTACTGCACACAAGAGGTCACTCACTTTGCACAGTTGCCATTCAGAGAAGATTTTCCATTTTCTCGATGAATGCAAATTGTTCTTTGATTGTATGAGGTGGAGTTTGTGGTGTCACCACATCACCTCATCCAACCAAAGAACACTTTGCATTGATTGAGATGCAAAATGCAAATGCAACCTGTTCTCTGAATGGCATCTGTGCCAAGCAAACAACCTCCTTTGTTCACAATCCAGCAGGGCAGCCGCTTGGCACATGACATATGCACAGATACAGCCCACACTGGACTTTGATAAAAGGTATTGGTAGGTGGTAGGTGGAGCTTACAATCAATGCAAAGAGCTAAGGGGAGAGAGGTTGAAAAGACATTTTATTTTTCACTTCCACAGTTCAGATCACCTTGATGTGGTTGATGCAGATACTACAAAAAGGTGTTGAAGGGCTGTTAATTGTGCAAGATGCCCAGGTCCCTGCACGAGTAAAAAAAGAGGCTGGAAAAGCCCATATAGGGGAATGTTATTTACATGAAATCTCGGTAATGATGTATCTACTCATGGAGACAGGATAAACAGGTAATAGATGTAATCTATCAATGTTAAAAATTCATTTTTGCCTGGAGTTGGGCTTTAACCACTTGCTTACCGGGCACTTATACCCCCTTCTTTACCAGGCCAATTTTCAGCTTTCAGTGCTGTCGCACTTTGATTGACAATTGCACGGTCATGCAAGATTGCACCCATATGAAATTTTTATCATTTGTTTCTCACAAATAGAGCTTTCTTTTGGTGGTATTTAATCGCCGCTGGGCACTTTACCTTTTGCGCTATAAACAAAAAAATGTGCAAAAAATGTGAAAAAAAAAAAAAGTTTCTTTGTTTCTATTATAAAATTTTTCAAACAGGTAATTTTTCTCCTTCACTGATGTGCGTTAATGAGGCAGCACTGATGGGCACCAATAGGCGGCACTGACTGGCATCACTGCTGGGCACTGACTGGCAGCACTGCGGGGCTGCACTGCTGGGTGGCACAGGTGGGCGGAACTGGTGGGTGGCACTGCTGGGCACCGATCATCAGTGCCCTGATGATCGGTGCCGATCCCTGCTCTGACAACCGCCAGTTCTCGGCAGTACTTTCCTCACGCTCTGACAGCGTGAGGAAAGTTCAGCCGAGAACCGGCAATTGCATTTCCCGGTGATCGACGTGTCATTGGACATGGCTGATCACATGGTAAAAGGCCGCTGTGATTGGCCTTTTACCACATCACGTGATAAGCTGTGTCCTTAGGACACAGCGATCATGGAGATCACCGGGGGCGCGCAGGAGAGCGCGTTCTGGGAGGACGTCATATGACGCCCTCCCAGAACTGGCCGGCCGGAGTATAGCCGTCATTCGGCCATCTGCGGTGGGCAAGTAGTTAAATACCTATCTGTATAGTGCTTTTCCTGCCAGCATCCGTAATTTTGTACAGTCACCCTTGCAATTTACATTCCCTGCCCCTTTGCACAGCCAGGAAAGTGACATTTCTAGGAAAGCTAACTTAAGAGAAACAAGGAGAATGGCACTATTGAATGCTGTAAATAGCAGTAGCTTGGTTGTCAGCCCACAATCCCACTTCAGTTCACTGAACCTCCTATAATAAACATGCAGGTAAACTTCTGAATTTTCTCCAACTTTCTTGTGGTACATCTTTGTACCTGGTGAATGTCTCAGAAGGTACCGAAGCCAGTGTGTCAACATAATAGCCAGACAGAGGTAGAGGCATGCACTACCCCAAATCTGTAGGTATACACGCTCCACGGGGCATGTCCCTCCCTGGCTAGAGGGAGGGACATGCCTCTACTGCCTATGCTTGGCTGTCTGATTTGACAGCTTCTTTGCAGGATAGCTCAGGTGGGTTCAGACTCATGTCTCAAAAACGCCAAAGCTCATCCCCATTTACAGTGGGGTTATTTTGAGCCCATCAAACATCTGTTACCTTAGATTTGATCTGTTTGATCAGCAGAATTTATAAAGTGCTATGTAGCAAAAGGTCTCACCTGACTGCTCAGGCACTACATAATTATAAGGAAGCTTTACTGAATTATTGCTCATTTCTCGCATAGCCAACTCAATTTGTGGGTTCGGCAGGGAATAGATCTTGCCAATTCTAATAGCATGACAGATCCGGGAAGCAAGGTGTACAGTGTAGTGTGGCTAATAAATAGCAACAAATCATGCTGCAGGTAAACCAGTTTATATCACAACTATGTGCTTTGTTTTTTGCCTGGAGCTTTAAGTGGAAAATAAGCAAGAATAGATGTCATTATTGCATTCTATTTTCCAGCATCAAATTCCTAATTGAAATCAATATGCTGTTTGACAAAGTGCCGGTAGTAGGAGCTAGCAGGAAATTAAAGGATGTACAGGGCATGTCCAGACACTAGCAATACATCCACAGAAGCAGTGAACTGCTCTTTTAGATTAAAGATCTACTCAAATGACATGAAAAAAAAAAAAAATTTAGATTTAAATTTATTTTTTTTTTTTAAACACAGTAAGGCCTTGTACACATGGGCTTTAGGTAACATAAGAACGGTGTACAGCAAGATGTTGCAAAGCTTTCAGCAAACTTCCAAGGATATGTGAGCTCCTAATATGGCACTAAACAATATCTTTAGTCTCCATAAATAAAATCGATACATAGCCATTCCTAATGGCCCTGTAACCACTTCAGCTTCAGAAGGTTTTATCCCCTTTATAACCAGGTTATTTTTTTGCTGTTCGGCATTGCACTACCTTAACTGGTAATTGCGTGGTCATGAAACACTACCCAAATTAAATTTCTATAATTTTTTTTCACACAAATAGAGCTTTCTTTTAGTGGTCTCTGATCAACACTGGATTTTTCTATTTTTTACTATATAAAATGAAAAAAGATCAAAAGTGAAAAAAAAAAAAAAATGTAATTTCTGCTATAAAACATAAATAAAAAATAATAAATTAAAAAAAAATCTAATTTCTTTATAAATTAACGACAAAATGTATTCTACTACATCTCTTTGGCAAATCAAATCCCAATAAGTGTATATTGATTGGTTTGCACGGGTTATAGCTTCTAAAAAACAGAATATATATATATATATACAGTCAGGTCCATAAATATTGGGACATCGACACAATTCTAAAATTTTTTGTCTCATACACCACCACAATGGATTTGAACTGAAACGAACAACATGTGCTTTAACTGCAGACTGTCAGCTTTAATTTGAGGGTATTTACATCCAAATCAGGTGAACAGTGTAGGAATTACAACAGTTTGCATATGTGCCTCCCACTTGTTAAGGGACCAAAAGTAATGGGACAATTGGCTTCTCAGCTGTTCCATGGCCAGGGGTGCGTTATTCCCTCATTATCCCCAATTACAATGAGCAGATAAAAGGTCCAGAGTTAATTTCAAGTGTGCTATTTGCATTTGCAATCTGTTGCTGTCAACTCTCAAGATGAGATCCGAAGAGCTGTCACTATCAGTGAAGCAAGCCATCATTAGGTTGAAAAAACAAAACAAACCCATCAGAGAGATAGCAAAAACATTAGGCGTGGCCAAAACAACTGTTTGGAACATTCTTAAAAAGAAGGAACGCACCGGTGAGCTCAGCAACACCAAAAGACCTGGAAGGACACAGAAAACAACTGTGGTGGATGACCGAAGAATTCTTTCCCTGGTGAAGAAAACACCCTTCACAACAGTTGGCCAGATCAAGAACACTCTCCAGGAGGTAGGTGTATGTGTGTCAAAGTCAACAATCATGAGAGAAGACTTCACCGGAGTGA